TTTATCAGCAACATGTTCGTGATACCGGGCCCGTATGCTGGCTCTCATTTCAGAATCTTTGAACCCAGGAATTTTGTCAAGTGCATCGCGGATTGCACGATATGTGGGGTTGTTTGACACTTGTTCGGTCAGCCTGTGATCCAACACACTTCTGGGAAGGGGGACGAAATGTGGTGTTGGAAAACATTGCTCTGTTTTAAAGAGTTGCATTGTTAAAAAAAACAAGTGCTAATAAATTGATTTAAATAAACTAGTTCACAAAAAAAAGAGAGCAATCGGCTCAATTGTCAACCTTTACGTTTACTGCAAACCTTTAGAAATCCATCGTAGTTGCTTTCAGAGTCACTCTCATTAGAATTGGTAGTTGTTATTGCTGCAGTTGGTGTTGTGGTTGTGGGTGTTGTGGTTGTGGTCGTTGTGGTTGTGGTCGTTGTGGTTGTGGTCGTTGTGGTTGTGGTCGTTGTGGTTGTGGTCGTTGTGGTTGTGGTCGTTGTGGTTGTGGTCGTTGTGGGTTGTGGTCGTTGTGGTTGTGGTCGTTGTGGTTGTGGTCGTTGTTGATGTGGTCGTTGTTGATGTGGTCGTTGTTGATGTGGTCGTTGTTGATGTGGGTCGTTGTTGTTGTGGTCGTTGCTGCATCCTCATACGCAGCGCAAAGGAATTGGATCAAACAACGTCGGTACAAACCTTTCGTCTATTAACACCATTAACGATTGGACGGTCTCCCACATGAACACGTTTGCCAAAATGTAGTCCATGGGTACCCGCCGAAGGGGTTGACGGTGGCAACCGCAAGGTAAGTATTTCTCTGCGCCAGCACCTTTAGAACATCGTCTTTCGAGGGAACGTCAGAAGTACTGCACTGATTCTTTTTTTCAGGATCCCAAGGGGGAAGGCCGCCCACTTTCGGGCTTGGAGGTTTCTTGGTAAAAAACGAAACAATCTTCACTTCAACTTTTCCGTCACGATTGTTTTGGTTGAATTCCATCCGAAACCGTCATCCAGGACCATATCAAACGCTGGCACAAGAACTCTTGTAAATGGTTTGGTGGTACTTGGGCCATTCGGAAAGGCCTCCCATGCAGCACCATAATCAGGTCGTTGCAAAGGCATCCCTTCATAACACTTTGGAGGAGAGAAAAAACTGTCATCAGAGTAGAATAAAAAATCCAGCACGGTATGCTTGGATTTTGCTTTCTAAAATGGAAGAAGATTCTGTAAACCAGTGCAGCGCTTCGTATTGATCCCAGTTTGAATCTGCATCAATAGCATAAGCAACATCGACTTGCGAAGTCATCGTAAGAGAGCTGACGACCATTACAATCGAAATCGCAGGAAGCTATTGCACCAAAAAAAAACAACAAGGCGAGTGACAGAAGATCATTCATGTTGATCGATTGAATGATCGATTGAATGATTTGACTGTTCTGGAGACAACATGACATGCATGCAGGCATGGGACGAGACCTGTTTGCACACCGGCAATCGTACGGTTACAGATCTCATCTCTCCATCCTCTATTTGTATAGATCTCATCTCTCCACCCTCTATTTATATAGATCTCATCTCTCCACCCTCTATGGCATATTTATATAGATCTCATCTCTTCACCCTCTATGGCATATTTATATAGATCTCATCTCTTCACCCTCTAATGGCATATTTATATAGATCTCATCTCTTCACCCTCTATGGCATATTTATATAGATCTCATCTCTTCACCCTCTATGGCATATTTATATAGATCTCATCTCTCCACCCTCTATGGCAAGTCCTCAAGTCACAACAGATCAAACTCCCAAAACCGGGGGAAGATCTTTCTTCGGGAGAATTCCAACTCACAGACACCCGAGAATTCCAACTCACAGACACCCAAGATGGCGGCAAATTCAAAAACAATGATCGGAGTGAGGTCCAAGAGCTAGTTTGCTCAATCTATCGATGACGACCTTCTCTGCTTCCCTCGCCGGTTCTTCTTATAATGACTTCGTGTCAAATGACCCCATTACCATAATTCTTAATAGCTTTTGATTTTTTCTTTTACACAAATATAACAAATTTTATTTGCATTCTCGCTGCAATACAGAAAATTGTTGATTGTGAGTTTGTTGGTTTCACCAGATTCCTGCAATACCGAAAACTACTACCAATACAATTATGCGCTGAAGTCACTCTTACGAAGATGCTGAAACCTAGATTGTGTCGAAATACTTGCTTTTGTAGGGAACTGCTCACATGTTCAAAGCAGGCAATCTGCGTCACCTTAGCGATACATCGTATCTATTTCTGTACAAAGTCAACACAAATCAGTCATATCATCAGGGAGGCCGCAGAACCCACTAGCGCTCAAAGTTTGGCACCAAAAACTGGGGGGCCAGAAATCCTGATGAGCGAGGAATCCCGGAATGCAGCTGCTAGGAATGATGGTGGAAGCGACGCTGTGGAGGACCATAACAATACTGAGCCTGTAGCGGGCAACAACGATGGTAGAAATGAAGGTGTAGAAAGTCAGACTGATGAAAGTGATTGGCAAACTGTGATCGATGAGGAAGCCTCCTCTTCAGACGAAGAAACGAATCGTGCAAAACGTCGTGCACTAGAATTTGAAGAAGATAAAGAGAAAGGAATTATCCGTGGATGCCCTCACTATGATCGTCTTTGCCAGATTGTAGCACCATGCTGGTATTTCCTTATTTGGATTTCTGGTATTCATTTCCGTGTTCTTCAGTAAAGAGGTTTTCTGGTGCCGTCATTGCCATAATGAAACCAAAAGTGCTTTAGAGAACGATCCTAAGAAAGCCCAGTGAGCTTCCCTCTTTTAGCGTCTTATTCTGCAATTCCTTCAGCGAACTGGATCGATTTGCTGTCAAAGAGATTATTTGCACGAAGTGTTCCACAAGGCAAAGCGTCTCGAATTCTTGCGTGCAATGTAACGTAGAATTCGCAAAGTATTTCTGTTCCATTTGCAACTTTTGGGACAACAATGGGGATGAGAAGCTCGCGTTCCACTGCGATGGCTGCGGAATCTGTCGCGTCGGTGGGCGTGATAATTACTTTCATTGTCCCAAATGCGGCAGTTGTTATCCGATCGGATTAAAAAACAACCATGTATGCATCGGTGAGCACCTACAGCAGCCTGCGTAATCTCGAAGATTTGTAACTCATTTATCTATTTCCCATGCTCGACTAGCAACTTGTTCTTGTAATAGCAACATCGTTCTTGAAGCCTTGAACCTCTTCTTCTTTTCTTTCACTCATAATACTGCAGCCTCCATCGGCACTCATAACGCTGTGTCTCTCTTCAGAACGTGCGATGCATGGAGCGTGTCCCATTTGCTTGGAAGATTTATTTTCATCGATTCGTGTTGTGACTGTTCTCAATTGTGGACATACGATCCATCAGGATTGTAAGTCACTCACTGAGTTGAACACGCGACGTCTTGAATCCGTTTAGGTTTGCGATCAATGTCCAAAGGAGTTTTCAGATTAGCGGCGATGCGTTGTCCTCTTTGTACGTCTTTGTGTGTTGTGATTCTTTATGTTGTACGTTGAAGTATTTCTAATCTTTGCATATTTGTATTCAGGTTCGCAATCCATCAGCTCCAATCAAGCAATCTGGGCACACTTGGACGCCGCAGTTTCAGAGACACCCATGCCGGAAGAAGCTAGGTACTTCATCAACGTCCCCCAAGTCTTCATATTTTTCCAAAACTAAATATTCAAATATTCTATTTCACTTCTAGACGGGACGCTCACATTGTTTGTAATGATTGTCGGTTAAGATCCAAGGTTGCCTTCCACTTTTATGGTACGGAGTTTCTCTATCTTCTATGGATGACTTTTGATGTTTTCAGGTTGTAAATGCCAACACTGTGGATCCTACAACACGGCGGAAATTAGCCCCTCGAGTAATTCCAACGAGTGAAAGACTCATTTATTTTTGGATGTCCCAATCAATTCTCTTTTCCTTGAGGTCGCTCAGAGAGCCGTTTTTGAACGAATTGTTAATCGTACAAAGAAAAACATTTGAGAGCTCTATCACACAAATATTCTTAGAATCGATATGGTACAGAAAAATTATCCATCTGCAGTGAGTTTGGTAAATTGATCGACCATGGTGAGGACTTTAAAGCGTTGTTACACGCAATCCCTATTGGCCCATTTGAATGATTTTTGTCAACTGAAGGAAATCAACATTCCCTCCACTGATGACCGCAGCAATATTCCTACAGTGGAACGTAAAGAACGTTCAAGAGTGGACGAAACCATTTCTTACGTTCTGGAGCGAATGGCCTTCAAATTCCAAAATTTAGGCGACAACAACGCAGCGACCACAGTCGCTGCAGAAGGCTCAATGACGATTTTCATTCTTGACATCACGAGATAGAGAGCTTGGGATATTTCACTCTCGGATACATCAACAATCTCATCCACCAAATCCCTAGAACAAAAATGGAGTTACAACAGTTTTCAGAGAAATTTTGGATCTCACCGAATACATTCGAACGTTAATGGTCCCAAATTGGTTTTCAGTCCATCAGCGATGGTGTCTGGAACTTTGTCGTTGCGAACGATGACTCCCGCGTTCCTGCAAAAGAAGGATCCCATGATTCCCCAGAAGGACCCCATGATTCCCCAGAAGGACCCCATGATTCCCCAGAAGGACCCCATGATTCCCCAGAAGGATCCCATGATTCCCCAGAAGGATCCCATGATTCCCCAGAAGGATCCCATGATTCCCCAGAAGGATCCCATGATTCCCCAGAAGGATCCCATGATTCCCCAGAAGGATCCCATGATTCCCCAGAAGGATCCCATGATTCCCCAGAAGGATCCCATGATTCCCATCAACCTACTTCGATTTTAGAGCATCATTCGCTTCAGTTGGTTCAACTCCAATGATGATTGCGTTTGGATTCTTTGCCTTCATCACGGTACTGATACCACTGATTAATCCACCACCCCCAATGGGACCAACTATCACATCGACTTGAGGAAAATCCTAAAATGGAGAGATTTCTACATTTGTGTCGAAAGATGATACAACTCGTACTTCGAGCACTTCTAATGCGAGAGTTCCTTGTCCAGCCATAACGAGCGGATGATTGAACGGTGGAATCACCTCGACAGCCTGTTGACCCAATAGAGTTTGTTTCTCAGCAACGACTCGCGCTAGAGTTTCTTCCCTTTCGGCTGGCTTTGAGAAAACGACGTTTCCGTTGTATCCACGTATCGCTTCAACCTACAATGGAGATTGATTCTCAAGATCATAAAGATTTGAGCTTATTCACTGTGGTTACAGTAACAGTATGCCGAATAGTACCTTGTTAGGTGGAGCTGTATCTGGAACGATGATGAGAGATTGGATTCCAGAAAGCTTTGCCGCAAGGGCTAAAGCTGAAAGAGTAAGGAAACAGAGAAATCTCTAGATTGGGCGATTTATGAAATATCGAATGTCTGCTTGACGCTCTATCAAACACGCCTCATCCAGCAGCTGGGAGAAAGACGTCTATCAAACACTTCGTCATCGTCATCCAGATTAGTACGAACAGGTCACTCGTACCTGCTCCATGATTCCCGCTGCTGTGGGTGGCAACGATTTTAACATCTGGATTGGTCGATAATGTTCCACTCACAGCATTCGTAGCGCCACGGAACTTGAACGCCCCAACGCGTTGAAAATTTTCACATTTCAGTCGAATATCCAACGCAGGACTTTCTTGAGACGGATGTGCTGCGGCTGCAACTTCGCGAATCTACAAGAGAAGAAATAAATGAACGGATTTTCCCAATCAAGGATTTCAAGAATTGGAATGCCGATTGCCAACTTACCATATCGACGATCGCGGTTGACAGTCGCAGCAAAGGCGTTCTGTGGATGTGGGACTTGACTAGCTCAGCAGCCTTTTCCACATCCTCCAACGAGATTGGTTTTCGATTTTGCATTTTTTGACGAGCGATTCTAAAAATGACGTCTTCCCGTTGGGTCTCCGGTCGTCTGGGAGCCAAGAGTCCGTTCCTGGACCACCAGACGAACAGATGAAACTTCTCAAACGAGACTTTACAAAGGATGGGGGTGGATATGCAATCATCATCCCCGAGGAGTCCGAGGATTTATGGTCACTCTACAATCTGGTCGCCCCTGGGGATGAACTCACGGCGACAACCGTCAGGTAGATGGTTTTCCTATACGAGAGGACTTAACGTGTCTTCAATAGAAAAGTTCAACGCGAAGGCGCAACCGGGGCTGTTTCTTCTGAGATGAAGAAACTGACGGTAACACTAGTCATCAAGGCAAGTGGACGATGAAGTCGGTTGAGTTGGTTCTTCAGTCATTAAGTTTATTGGTGTTCTCTCACCCACACAGTCAGACTCCCTCATTCAAATTTGTCTCACTCATTCACATCGATCTTCTTCCTCACCGTTGAATACAGCAGTCGATACTATTTTTGTCATTATCTGCTATACATATTCTCTAGATTTCTATTTATCAACTTTTCTTCAGTCATCAGATTATCACGGAGATGTTGTTCGATTTTCGGGTCAGAACAGAACTGAGACTCCCTTTATTAAAGTACGCGAGACTGATTGGATCCAACATTTTCACATCTTCTACAATTTTTAAATTTTTTAATCAGTTACAGTCATGCTTTCTCTGGATTTCTACAGATGGGACAATTCCACACGCATGAAGTGGGAGTTGGCGCTAAGGTCACTTTGAGTAAGGTGAGGGACCAAGCTTTCTACCAATTGATTTCGATTGGCCTTATTTCAGAGTGAGTGGGATTTTATTGCGCGGAAGCAGCTAAAGACAGCCTGTGATCTCAAAGAGTCCGCTGAGACGGTTGTTATAGTGAGTTGAACACTGCCACCACAGCACCAACCATTTTCTGCAGCTGATGGATTCAGGGATTGCCAATATGTATCTTCTCACAAATTTATTAGCCAGAGATTTATGCAAAGTAGGAGCCGGAACGCCTCGCAAAGAGTGTTAAGCTGTATTTTTTCAGGTTCAAGTTGACATACCTAAACGCCGCGCATTTAGTAACAGCCGCGATAAGGCATTCGATAAATTTTTTCAGCAGGTGTTAGCTGCAATTGCGCAACACATTAACTTCGATGTGGTTCAATGTGTCGCGATTGCGGGCCCAGGATTCGTTGGGGTACGACAACTCTGTAGTTGAAGCTGTCTGTTCACGCGTGTGTGTTTATATTTGTGTTTGTTTTTCCTGACCGAAGCGATCACAGTCGTCCAATTCTTCAGGATGATTTTCTAAAATGGATGCCAGTTGAAGCTCAACGACAACAATTGTCCCAAATCGTTTCTCATCAGCATATTTTTATATCTTGTAGAGCATCATCGGCTCATAAGTAAGAAAACTCTTGAACCGTTTCTGAGCATAATATCGTTTCTTGCCAATCGCTGGGTTGTCAACCAACTCTTGCATCATGTGTAGTTTTCCATTCTAACGCCATTCGGATCCAGCGCCACACTTCTTTAACTGTTTCCATTTCTTCGTATCGATCCCTTCTTTCTCTCAACTTAACTTCTTTTTTTCTTAACTTTTTGTTTTCTTTACTTCAGACAATCTCTTGATGAAGTGTTAGCAGATAAAGGAATTTTGGATAAAATTTCTGATACAAAAGCGTGGAGTCATACTGCTGCGTTGGAACAATTGTATTCAGTGCTCCATAATGATCCACAACGAGCATGCTATGGTCCCACTCATGTTGAATTTGCAACAGAAAGAGGGGCGGTGAAAACGCTGATGGTAACTGACCAACTTTTCAGGTAATGATTGCTAGAGCAGGAGAGCGTGCTTGTAGTTCTTATGGGAAATGAACTGATCGAATGGTTCGATTCAGAGGACTGTGGTTGTCTCAACTGAATGGATGATTTTGTTATTTTAGGTCGTCTGATGTATCAACACGCCGGCATTACATTAAGATAACCGAGACCGCCAAAGCAGGCGGTGCTGAAGTCCTTATTTTCTCAGATATGCACGTTTCTGGCGAGCGTAAGCAATGTTGTTGATATGTGACATTTCATTTACATATATAGAGCTATTGATATGTGCAATGTAACTGATAGGATTGATATGTTTGGTGCTTCCCGTCGTGTTGTCTGTTCTACTGTTTGAGAAATCTAAACTCATATTTTTGTTTGTTTTTGTAGAGCTTCAACAATTGTCTGGGATTGCTGCGATTTTGCGGTTCCCGCTTCCTGAATTAGACGATCTTGTTTGTCCAGCTTCTTTTTGAGAGCAGAATTTTGCAATTGAATAAAAATCGATTGAAAAATCTGAATTGTCCCAAAACCGTTCGTCTATGAAATTGGAGCGCACAACAAAACTAAGGGCCATGTGGAATAATCATTCATCGATCAAGAAATACTGATGGCGGTGTGTCGATTGAAGTACGGGCTGGTGAATGGCGAATACGGCAGTTTGGATAAAAAAGTCTGAAAAAAAAGTTTGGATTGAAGTTTGTCTAAATATGGGAGGAGGAGATCTGTCAATGCGATGGGTGGCATATGTAGAGATAGAATACATACTTCTATTGAGGAAGAGACATTGAGGCATGGATTGGTACGGAACGTGCATCTGAATAATCTGTTACAACTAGGTGACGCTGTATAGAATGCCGAAGAAGGAGACCTTACCCGCCACATACGCACATAGATGCAAAAATTAGCAACCCCTAAGAAAGGCAACCGAGTCACATCTACAGCTACATGATGGACTTACAACGACCACCAAGAAAAGAAAGACCATACATCTGCGAGTTTTCCACCAAACATGCCGCTTATAACGGTTTGCCTGAAAGAATACAAAAAAGAATAACCGCGATCTCCCGAATTGCTGATAAGATTGTGGGACAGAGAAAGTGCCAATGGGAACTAGTTGCATCGAAGGGCTTCTCATTATAAAAATGATTTCCTACTTGACGTCTGAATTGAACGGAACTTTGATGGAGCTGTTCACTGCGATCAACGAGCAAACCGATTTTTTCACTTCTTGCTAGCAATTTGTCTGATCAGAGAATTAATTTTAATCATATTTTCCATCATGATGAAATTCGTTAACAGCGAATACGATGCACCGGTTGAATCATCAACAATTCGCGCATACGGACCCTTCTGTCGGAAGTCGCTTACCGATGTTGTCAACCATGACATCATGAATATTCGCAATTTGAGACTTGATCTTCGCAAACTCAGGCGTCACACATCCAGATTCCAAGATTCGGTTCCAATGAGCCTGACGCAATCATCAAATACACGGAACGAAAAACGCGACAATCACCATTCTTTCTTGAAGCGCTGGAGCAAGTCGCTCATTAAGAGCCAAAGCGATTGCCGTTTCAAGCGTGTGCGGGAGAAAAAGAGCTTGAACTAAGTCCGCAACATCCTCAAGGAAGAGGTAGGGGATTCTCAGGTTGACGGTTCGTGGGCACATCACCAGAAAGCACAGTCTTTCACGAAAGTAGTGATGGAAAATAAATCTACATTGAAGGAAGAAATATGTTCCACGATCTTGAGAATGGATCCCAAGACGTAATGTCCCATTTACCACTAACTGTCCCAATCCCATTTACCACTAACTGTCCCAATCCCATTTACCACTAACTGTCCCAATCCCATTTCCCACTCGTTGTTCTTACTCATCATACAAGTAGGAAACTCGCGGTGTTGTCGTGGGAACCCTCGACAACAGTATTCGCGTTATTGTCTGAAAATTTCCACTTTCTTCTGTATATTCCCCAAGGACGACTCCATCTACATTAAGATGATTCCTACATAGTACACGCGATACTCCGAAATTACCTCGCGCAACTAGAGAGTATAGAAGTGCCATCTTGATCGACAACCTAGAAGAGACACATTAATGATAACGAGAGGGGACTAAA